CCCTTTATACCTCGGGAAAGAGAGCCATGGAGCCTCCCTGTGAAGCTATCCCTTTTTTTTTTTTTTTTTTTTTTTTTTTTGTGGTATGCGGGCCTCTCACTGTTGCAGCCTCTCCCGTTGCGGAGCACAGGCTCCGGACGCGTAGGCTCAGTGGCCATGGCTCACGGGCCCAGCCATTCCACGGCATGTGGGATCTTCCCGGACCGGGGCACGAACCCGTGTCCCCCGCATCGGCAGGTGGACTCTCAACCACTGCGCCACCAGGGAAGCCCAAGCTATCCCTTGATAGTTGACCTGCTCGTGGATCACCCCTCTGCTCAGGTGATGGGAACTGGTACCCTTTAGGTAGATTTGATTCTGCTTCTCCATTTTAAGGCACCCCTCCCACTCCTCTTCCTCATGTTCTTCTCCCTGTTTTCTCCTTCCTTCTTTTCCCCTTTCCCTCCCCTTCCCCACTAAGTCTCATGTCATGTAATAAGAAAGGACATGGAAGGCAGGCCCAGTGTAGAGTCAAGAGTGGGGAGTAAAAAGGGAAGGGAGAGAAGAGAATGATCGCACCACCGCTTTTGTCCCAACAGGTTTTTTTTTTCCCCTCTTACCTTAGGCTCTCTCATCTATGCCTTTTATTTCAATTTTCATTCTAGGTTGATGGTTTCTAATTCTCCATCTCCATCGCAGATATCTCTTCTCTAGAACTGCATATCCAGTAGCAATTCAGTGCCTCCACTTCTGTGTCCATATGCTCTTCAAGATCAATACTTTTTAAGCTTAACTCATCATTCTCCCACCTGCCTGGTTTGCCCCACAACACACTTATCCTCCAGGACAATCCATTTTAGGTAGTAGCACTGCTGTCCTCCCAACTGTCCAAAGCAGAAGCTAAGGAAACATCCTTGAAATGTCTTCTCCATCAATTACTGCCTGCATCAGTCATCAGTCTTGCCTAAGTTCACCTCATCTGGACCCCTATTATTCACATGTTAAGCCTTCTGTATCTGCTCTCCAAATATCATTTTTCCCTCATGATTTCTGTCTCTTTGTATTTTTGATCTGTGCATTAAGATATTTCTTTCACTTGCACTTCTAGGCATTAATACTGTTTACAGGGACTTCCCTGGTGGCGCAGTGGTTAAGAATCTGTCTGCCAATGCAGAGGACACATGTTCGATCCCTGGTCCAGGAAGATCCCATGTGCCGCGGAGCAACTAAGCCCATGTGCCACAACTACTGAGCCTGCGCTCTAGAGCCTGCGAGCCACAACTACTGAGCCTGCGTGCTGCAACTACTGAAGCTCACGTGCCTAGAGCCTGTGCTCTGCGACAAGAGAAGCCACTGCAATAAGAAGCCCGCGCACTGCAACGAAGAGTAGCCCCCACTCACCACAACTAGAGAAAGTCTGCACGCAGCAACGAAGATCCAAAGCAGCCAAAAAAAATTTTTTTTAATATATTGTTTACAACAGTGATCATCCCCTCCTTAACTTTTAAATTAAAAACTCAGAGCTATTGTTTGGTTTTGTTGTTTTTTTTCCTGGTTCCAGGAGATCTTTTTTTTTTTTAAGGTTGTATGACTCCCCTTAAGTACTTGTATTATTTTTTAAGTAAGATCAAATATCTCCTCTAGTAGTTTTATTCCAAAGGAGTTACCTCTCTGAGCATTTTGCTTATTATTGCTCTCTGTGGCTGTTGAGAAACCCCTGGGTTCACTGCCTTTTCCTCTGTGAGCACTTGGCTTGTTCTGTCTTGAACAAGCTATCAAGAATGGTAATGAACTCAGAAGCACTGGAAAGCACAGCAGCCTCTGACCCAGTTGCCAGGTCGTCTCTCCCCTGCTGAAACCTCTGGATAAATATCTCCGCAATCCATCTCCTAGGCAACAAAGACCACAGCTCTCAGAGATGGAGGAACCCAGTCCATGCTGCAGTTCTACCTCAGCTCCTTGAGAGCAGGTAGACCAGCAGGTGCTCCTAGGACCACATGGGGCTGGCACTGACCTTCTATGGGCAGTAGATCTCCATGGCTCGAGCTCCCTGTAATATAGCTCTACATTTTGCCTCATGGCTTTTCCCCTAACTCCAAGCTCCTCTCTTGCCCAGAAGGCTGAACACTACTCCCAGAACACTACACCTCCAGCTGGTAGTTGGATTGCAACTAGGGCAGAAAGGCAATAGGACACTAGCTCTAGCCCCCATCTTCCCAGAATTCCCTCTTCCTCTCTCTCATCCATTGTCATGCACCTAGACCAGGTGCCATCATCTCTTGCCTGATCTACTGCCTCCTAAATGTTTCCACTCCTGCCTTCATACAATCCATTCTCCCCACAACACCTCATTAACTCTTTAACAAACAAAAATCTGTTCATCTTAATTTGCCTACTTTAAGTCTTTCAATGACTTCCCAGGGCTCTTATGATAAAGGCCAAAACCTCTGACATAACCTACCAGGCTCTGTATAATCTGGCCTTTTTGGAAGCCCATCTAGTCCTAGGCAAGGGAAGCAGCTGTTATGAAGTGGTCTCTTTCCTAGAAGGAGGAACAATGGCCCCAGGATCAGAGTACCTGTGTTCTGGTCTTATTTCCTTCATTAGCAAACTGAGTGTCATTGACCAAACTGCTTCATCTCTCTGGACTTCTGCTTCCTTATTTGAAAAATGGTGATAAAGTCTACCCTGCCTACTTCTCAGGGTTTTGTGAGCCTCTAATAAGAAAATATTTGTCAATGTATGTTTTGTAAACAGCAAAGTAGTATAAAAATGGAGCTCTCCAAATAAATGGTGTGATTTGAGGGAAGCTATGAACTTAAAATACGACTTCGACCAGCTTGTCACTGATACCTGTAACTTCCACCATGAGAGGGGCTCCCTTGGACTGGGGCAGTATGACTCTAGTAAGCCACTGTTAAAATGCACATGATACAGGAGAAGGAAGGGAAAAGAATAAAGCATGGAGTCATTAGCATTCACTGCTATGGAGGAATCTGATTGGCTAAATCTCTGGGGCTAGGAGATGGGAGAGGTAAGGTTTTATGAGTGAGAGAAGTGGAGGGAAATGTCCCAGGGGATACCCAGAGAGGGAGACCCAGGTAATCACAGTGTTGGCATTCCCTGGCCAGTGCCATAGCAGCAGGAAGGCCAGCATCCTTCACCCTTGAGCAGTGCTTGTCTTCCGCTTAATTTTATTTTAGGAGGTATTTCTTCCTTTTAGACAATTAACTTCCTCCCCACGGGGCAAAATACTTCATGTACAAAGAACAAAAATGAGAAAAAACATTCCAATCCCTGGCTTCCCCTCAACCAAGAACGCTATAGAACATTTTACCCTCATATTTCATTTAATCTAAGATACCATCAATTATAAGATGCCATAATTTTATGTAATACTAAGAAAGAAAAATTGTTTCCAGTTTAAACTATGACATGACATCGATGATTAAGACTTATCCCAATTTCAGAGATGATAAATGTGAAAAAAAAAATGTACATTTTGGGCTTCCCTGGTGGCGCAGTGGTTGAGAGTCTGCCTGCCGATTCAGGGGACACACGTTCGAGCCCCGGTCCGGGAAGATTCCACATGCCGCAGAGCGGCTGGGCCCGTGAGCCATGGCCACTGAGCCTGCGCGTCCGGAGCCTGTGCTCCGTAACGGGAGAGGCCACAACAGTGAGAGGCCCGCGTACCCCAAAAAACAAAAAAATGTACATCTTCAAATCCATGAAGTATAACATCTATACATTGATTGGGTCAATATATCTAGTCTGCTGCCACTGTCTGACACAGTACTGTCTTTCTGCTAGAGTGGATATTGCAATGCGAAATTTTCCATATACTTGAACTAGAAAAGAGTTAGTTGCTACCAAGGACTTTTTGATAATGATCATGGTAATGGTAAAATTAACCTTCAGTTTCTCCTGGAGTAAGGTGGGGGAAATTCTACATATTTAACAGATACAAAGGATTTTTTTTTTGAGGTATAATTGATTTATAATATTATGTTAGTTTCAGGTGTACAGCATAGTGATTCAAAATTTTTATAGATTATACTCCATTTATAGTTATTATAAAATATTGGTTATATTTCCTGAGCTGTACAATATATCCTTGTAGCTTATTTATTTTATACATAGTAGTTTATACCTCTTATTCCTCTACCCCTATCTTACCCTCCCCCTTCCCTCTCCCCACTGGTAACCACTAGCTTGTTCTCTATATCTGTGAGTCTGTGGGGTTTTTTCTGTTATATTCACTAGTTTGTTTTATTGTTTAGATTCCACACATAAGTGATAACATTCAGTATTTGTCTTCCTTTGTCTGACTTATTTCACTAAGCATAATACCCTCCAGTTCCATCAAAGGATTTTTTTTTTTTTTAAGAAGACAAATGGTTTTATTCCCAACCACAAGAAACAAATTTAGTTCTGACCACTAGTTCTCAAACTGAGGCTCAGAGCCCAACTGTAGGCCCAAAGGGCCCTCCCAGGATCCCTGAGAGCAACAGGCATCCCAGACCCCATATGAAATCTTACAGAGCACCCACTTCAGTCCACAGACCCCAGAGACCTCCTCACCAGTCACCCTGAGGGAGGAATTCCCTCATTCCAAGGGACCCCATATACCACAGGGACATTCAGTTCATTTAGTCTTCATTAAATAATGATTTTAAGCCCAAGCACCAGGTAATATTGTTAGAGGGAAAAAGGAAGTTGACCACCCAGTCCCTGCCCTACTCTTCATGGAAATCCCAAAATAGATAATAGATTCTTAGCACATGGTGAAGTCAGGGTATTCCCTAGAAAAAGCCAATGAGATCCCCATAGTCAACATGGGGAAGGGGTGGGAATGCATCATTACTTTAGCGAGTTCACCCACAGTCTAGGTTCTGGCCCTGGACCTCCCAGGGCCAGAAACGTGACTTGTCAGTACAGTGAGAGTAGATTCATCTTTCGGGATCAGACTCACATTAAACAGGACTGATATATAAAATCAGAATGTAAGTTAGTTCACTTACATGAAGAATTATAGCTGCTCCATGGGCTTGAATACCCGAGTCCCCATGACCTGTCAATAGGCCTATGTAAGAAACCAATCCACAGATGGAGTTATTTGGTGATCCTGGAAGCAGAATAAGAGGAAGGTAGTAGATGGACCAAATGTGCAAGGGCAGCAGGTTAAGGTTGCCTCTGGGGCACCTACCTCCGCAGCAGGGTCTCACCCATGTGACTGGACATGCAATAAACTCATTGGTTGCAGCCCTTTCTTATATCTCCACATTAGACACAGCTTTGCTTAAAGGGATCAGAATAAGCAAAATCCTATGGCTAAGGCACCTCTCTCTGGATGCTACTTGGATGGACACGGTTCTAAGATTTGCTTTTATTACTATTCTGAGGCCAACCAGCCCCTTCTTTCTTTAGATATAGTTATTCTTTCTATCAGGTCTTATTCTGACCTCAGAGCCATTCTGTCTCCCTAAGTCACATTCATTTCACCATTCATTCAACAATAAGTAACTGAGCAACTACTACGTGCCAGCATTCAAGGCATTATGGTAAGTACTGGGGCCGAAGAGTGGGCAAGTGTGATAAGTGTTACAACAGAGGAAGTACAGACAGACTAGGAACACACAGGAAAGAATCTGGAATAGACTCTGGGATGGAGAGTTGTACCAGAAAACTGATTGGAGAGTTACCTAGAGAGGGTCGAAGGACCTATAAGGAAGAGAGAAAAGCATAGAAAGAGAAGCTGGCCAGCAATACGGTTGGTCCTCCAGGGAGCTCCAAAATTGAATAGCCCTTCAGAGAGCTCCTAAATAACTCTCCTTTATCCAACTTTATTTTCTGTCCCCCTTGACCTAGCACCTCAGGATTCAGTCCTAAGTGTAGTCTTCCAGCTCCTGCTGGTACACGTTAGTCAGATTCTGTGGCCATCTCAGCAGATGGTCCCTCTCCTCCTTAGCAAGCCCAGCTTATCCTCAGTCACATTGTGCAGGGATTTAGGCCATGTGGTTGGTCTAATTGCCAGGAGAGGAGACGGAGGTAGATCCTGAGAGAAACAAGCATCATCTTGTAAGACACCTGTCTCAATGGAACCTTCCACACGATCTTCAGAATCTGCCACCAGTGGGGAGTAGAACACTTCTGTGGATCCAATGGCTCCAGGAAAATCTGTAAATTCAAGGTTCTCAACTGCATCTACTCAGATATCCCGGTCTCACGTCTTTGGGTCCGTTTCTTCTATATTAGGACCACGAGTTTGGCACAGGAGGCTTGCTAGGGCCAGGTTCAACTTCCTCTGCAGATCTGTTCCTCCTACAATTGAGTTCTGAGCCTGATTCTCCGCACTTCCCGGCCCTACTGCAGAGATTAGGATTTCCTTAAATGCTGCCAAGGAGGCTCTGGCTTTCACATTTTGCCTAGAACTGATAATTAGTTTTACTCTGAGCCTGTCATCATCTCTCTTCAACGAATCAATGACATCCAGCAACTACCACGACTTCCATGATCCTCTTAGATACTATTTCCCTCAAACCTCTCCAGTGCCTAAGATATTACATGAGCCAGTGCATCCCCTTCCACTGGTGTCCTAGCCCAGTCCTAACAACTGCACTGCCACGTACATCAGAGGCTATCCTGACTCCACCTACCACCAGTTTTGGGGTTCTCTTTGTCAGATGACGGGTGAGAGGGATCTCCAAGATTGCATTTTAGCATCTTCTTCTTAGGGCCACTCCTGACACCAACTGTCTTAGCTTGGATTTCCGGGAAACAGACTAAGATGGACAATTGTGTACAGAAAGTTGACTGGAGGGTTCTCTCAGGAGATAAACCTGTGAGAAAGTGAGGAAGGTAGGATTCGGAGAAGCTGGCCTGCAATGAGGCTGCAAACAAGGCTCCGGTCAGTCTTATGAGGAACTCTGGTGCTGAGATGGCCTTGCAGAATGGACCCCAACTGAGGCAAGGGGGCTGAGCCATGGTATCCCTGAATCAGCTGGTCATTGGCTATGGCCACCCCAAGGGGAGGGGCAGGACCTTGGGGGAGGAAGTTCCCTGTGACCCAGATCAAATCTCAGTGAGAGCTCCAGGAGCTGCTGATGTTTCCAGCCGATGGGGATGAGTGTGCGGACCCTGAAAACGGGGTCTGGGCTGAGCCCCAGTGTCCACCACACAGGGATATGGGACCCAATCAAGAGAAGGCGTGAGAAAGTCAAAAGGGAAGGGGATGGAGGAAGGAGGAGAGGAAGGGTCTCAGGCAGAGTGGGGAACATGTCCCAAATAGGGACAATGAATGGAACGATGTCTGATGAGGCTGGAGTGGGGAGTAGTGCTGGGGGGAAGGGTGGTAGATGAGGCTGGAGAGGGAGGCAGTGGACTCCTTTGTCCTACAGGGGCGGGGGGTGGGGGAGGAGGCATGGTGTGCACAAAGCATAACACACTCATTCAACTGTTTAATCTTTCAGAGAGCTTTCTTGTTTCTCTCATTTTTAAGTTTTTGTGAAAGTGATTCACTATGTCCCCAAGTGTTGACCCAAGAGTCCCTTTGAGGAACTAAAACTTATGGACAAAAAAACAAGAAGCCTTTAACACCTAGCAGTCTAGGGATGCCTGGGATGGATGGAATGCCCCAGGAACATGCCATGTAACGTGCCCCTTCTGCTCTATGCTGTTTTCTTTGGGAAAGGCTGCAATTATTTCCCTGCCTTGGTGCATCCAGTTATAGCTGATGCCGGAAAAATCAAGGAGGAGGGAATTTACCCCAGTTCACCTGGAACCACATGGGGGCAGAAATAAGCATGCTACATGAAGAAAGCAGAGGACGGATGAGGCTGCCAACCAAGAGAAAGGGTGATGTGAAAGAAGGAGCTGGACAGGAAAATGGGAGGGCATCAGTTCTAGGGTTAGCTCTGTGGGGCTTTGGGAAAATCCCTGTACCTCTCAGGGCTGTAGAGAGTAGGACTAGATTCATTCCTCTGAGTTCAACAGCCCTTTGATTCTGTATTTCTTAATAAATATCTTATAACACACTTAATGAAAGCAAGATATCACCCTTTGATGACTAAATCCATCCTGAGTCTACCTTTCTTTCGGGCAAGGTTTGTTGTACTAGAAAGAGAAAGCCAGTGGCCTGTGGGGGCTGGTGAGAGTTTCTTCCTCTGTAGACAAAGTGATCAGTGAACCAGAAAAACATGTAACCCTCCAGTCTAAGGTTCCTTTCTGAATGGTAGACTGACTTTCCACTGGAGCATCCCACCCCTCAGAAGGAGAGTTCAACCATCCTCACCTTCAACTATTACCTAGCGATTAGCGAGCAAACTGCCCTTCCTAACCCCACCTGACATCTTCCCTGGTGCTTTCTCCATGCTGTCCTCCCTTCATCCCTGCCTTGTAGTGCATGTAACTTGATTCACAAAAATACTGCATTCTCGGGGCTTCCCTGGTGGCGCAGTGGTTAAGAATCCGCCTGCCAATGCAGGGGACATGGGTTCGAGCCCTGGTCCAGGAAGATCCCACATGCCACAGAGCAACTAAGCCCGTGAGCCACAACTACTGAGCCTGTGCTCTAGAGCAACAAGGGAAGCCACCGCAATGAGAGGCCCATGCACGGCGACGAGGAGTGGCCCCCTCTCTCTGCAACTAGAGAAAGCCCGTGCACAGCGACAAAGACCCAATGCAGCCAAAAATAAATAAATAAAATTAAATTAAAAAAAAATACTGCATTCTCAGCCCAGGCAAACTAGCAGGATTTTATCTAAGCAATGGGTAGAAAGACAAATATTACATTACAGAGTTAACTTTGTAAAGCAAAGATCAATCTATTATTCATAACTAAGAAGAAATCTATTCATTCGCTGTCCTCAAATAGAGCAAATCTATGCCTTAAACAGGTTTGTTCTCTTAACAGTTGTTAGTTTAAGATTGGTTTACTGCACTAGGCACCAATGCACGTTAGTGGATTACACACATTATTTATTTAACCAATGTATTTCATTAGTGGATTCACCTAACGACATATGAAAACATAACTTATCTACTTAGCAGGTGTGCACCTGCATCACATATTCATTATCAGCAGTAACTTTGCTTTACAAGACGCCAGCTGCCTCCCACAGTGACCACGTAATTCTGGACCATCAGGAGTGGCAGCAGCTGGCAGTGTCTTTTGGTCAAGCCACCCAAGGGGCTCCCAAATGGAGGATGCTCCCTAAGGTGTTAGTAAGCATCCTTCCACCTGTCAACAAGCACGTGATGGGCATCTGCTCTGTGCCCAGACTGTGCACAAGTGGGAGATGCAGTGGAAAGAGCACGGTTCCTGGAATCCCCAAATCTAGTCCCAGTCCCATTGTTGTCTTTTTTTTTCTTAAATAAATTTATTTTTTATTTATTTTTGGCTGTGTTGGGTCTTCATTGTTGCACACGGGCTTTCTCTAGTTGCAGCGAGTGGGGGCTACTCTTCGTTGGGGTATGTGGGATTCTCATTGCTGTGGCTTCTCCTGTTGTGGAGCACGGGCTCTAGGCACACGGGCTCAGTAGTCGTGGCTCGCGGGCTCTAGAGCGCAGGTTCAGTAGTTGTGGCGCAAGGGCTTAGTTGCTCCGTGGCATGTAGGATCTTCCTGGACCAGGGATCAAACCCATGTCCCCTGCATTGGCAGGTGGATTCTTAACCACTGAGCCACCAGAGAAGCCCCCATTGTTGTCTCTTGCAAGCTGTATGGGCTTTGGCAAAACGCTTCATCTCTGTAAGCTTAAGTCTCCTCACCTGAAGAATGAAGCTACCTATAGCACTGTCATGAGGCTCATGACCGTAGTGAAGTGAAGGTGCTGGGGGAAACTGAAAATCATCCTCAGAGAGGCATCATTCTGGCTATGGCTGTTGTTGTTGTTAGACATAAAACAACTTCTGCTCTTTCAATTTTCTATTCTCAATTATAGCATAAGAAAGAGTGGAGATTGCTTATTCATCTCACATCTTCAGTGACTGGCACACCTCTTAATATTTATTTATTTATTTAGCTGCACCAGGTCTTAGTGTGGCATGCAGGCTCTTAATTGCAGCATGCAGGATCTAGTTCCCTGACCAGGGATCAAACCTGGGCCCCCTGCATTGGGAGCACGGAGTCAACCACAGGACCACCAGGGAAGTCCCATGCCTGGCAGCTCTCTGACCCTCCATAATTGTCAGGTAAATGAGTCTCTTCATTATGGGTTATCATTTGTTTTATTTCTAATTATGAAATAAGTTTTAAGTAAAATAATTATAATAATACAAATGACAATTGTTAGTAAAAGGACCATCGTTTGACACAATTAAAGACAAATAAGATATTATAATGTACATACATGCATCCATTCAATAAATACACGTCAAAGTCCATGTTAAGTGCTAAGCTCTGTTCTAGGTGCTGAGGAAAAAATAAGAACAAGACACACAAGGTTCCTGTCCTAAGAGTAGGGCCATTATAGAAGGGGAAGACAAACAAGAAATAAATACATAAATATCAAGATAATTGCAAAGAGTTGTAATGGCAGGAAGGCATGGCTACGTTAGAGTGACTTCTCAGAGGAGATGATATTTGGACTGGACTGGAATTGTAAAAGGGAGCTCAGCCCCTGAAGTTCTGAAATCAATTTTCTAGGCAGAAGGAACGAATGCAAACAGCCGTAGGTGGAAGTGGATAGTTACTTTCAAGATACAAACAATAACCCAGTGGGGCTGGAGTGAAGTGGAAGAGAGAAAGAATGGTACTCAGTGGGGCCAGAATCTGTACCACGTTGAGCTATATAGACAGGATTTGGGATAGTAATTTAAGTGGAGGGGAAAGCGAGTAGAAGTTTATAAGTAGAGAAGACATGATCTACTTTACATTTTTAGAATTTCAGTCTGGCTGTTCTACAGAGAAAGATCCGTAGCAGAGAAGAGGCTGTTTCAGTGAACCAGAGTCTTAGTTTGGGTTCCCCCATAAGCAAACCCTGAGACAAGGATTCAAGTGTAATTCATTTATTTAGGAGATGCAGGGAACTCCTTGGAAGGAGTGTGGGGAAGGAATACAAAGAAGGGAAGGCAAGCAACAAAGGGTGTGTTATTAAGCCAGTTACCATAGTGAGCAACTGGAGCTTCATGCTGCAGAGAAACTTGGGGAAATGCTTCAAAACACACCTCAGAATAGTCCCACCTGAAAGGTGAGGGAGCTGGGGTATTTATGCACCGATTCCCAAATTGAGGTTGCTATTAGGGGGTAGCAGTTGTTACCCCCAGCGCTTCCTGCCCGCAGCAGGTGAGCAGAATGACCTTTCCAGATTGGAGAAAGGCAGCCCTCAGGCACTGAGATGCAAAGTCTTAAGAATATGAGTGAGCACTGACATCAGCTAGTACCTGAGGTCAGATATAATGTTGGCTTGAAATAGGAGATAGTGGTGGAGAAGTGGATGGACTTGAAGCCAAGCTAACAAGGCTTACTGAGATAAGTGTGGGGAGTGGTGGAAAGAGAAGAAATCAAGGATGGTTCCTGGACTGGGGACCTAAACAACTGGCTGGATAGTGGGACCATTTTATGAAATGGGAATGATTGGAAGAAGCATCAGCTTTAAGGGAAAAGAATCAAGAGATTTGTTTTGACATACCTATTAGTCCTCAGAATGGAACTGCCAAGTAGACCACTGGATACGGAAGTTGAGCTCATGGAAAATGTCCTTGCACTCAGCCTCCCACCCCAACTCCAATCCGAATAGCATGGTTAATACCAATTTATACCCATTTTCTAGGTTGGTTTCCTTGAAAAATTTCATCTAAATTCATGATTCCGCCACTTAGAAGTATTTGCCAAACACCTAATAGTGAAAATAGGCTGACTGCCGGAATTTGAGATCCAATACTTCCTGAACAGCCATTATGTGCCAGGCCTTGTACTACATTACATCACATACATTATTGCATTTAAGCCTCCAGTAACCCAAGATATAGATTTTATTCTTGCCATTTTATAGCTGGAAAAACTGACTCAGAGAGGTGAGGTGACTTATCCAATGTCACACAGCTAAGGGCTTCCAGGCTCCCGATCCACACCCATTCCTCGGCACCACGTTACCTGGCTCAGTAATCAAGAGCAGAACTTGCACGCCAGCTTGGGTCCCAGAGTTTGGTTGCTGAAGGATTTCAACATCACTTGTTAGTCATTTGTTAGAGACCCCACCTGAAGAAAGAGAAAGGAAGGACCCAATGACCATTTCCCAGGTAGTGTCTGAAGAACAGCCTCAACCAAATAAAATTCCCATGATCACCAACTTGAGGAAAGACTACATAGCACATCATTCTCTTAGAGGGTCAGGGTAAATGTCAGAATGTCAACAGCATTAATAACACTGTAGTTTGAGGAAACAAAACAAAACCTGCTTTTGCTTAATCTAGCATTTCCCAAATCTGCTCCGCCATTGGACCCTGATTTTATGAGCCTTATTACCATCCCCAGGAGGAATGTTCTGAGGAACACGTTTGAAAATCCTACACATGGCTAAGTCAGCACACCTTGGGTTTCATCTTGTCTCAGCCATCTCAACCCCACAGATTGCTCCATTTCTTTGAACATCTTGCTTAAACTCTTTGAAACTCAGCATCCCCCACTCTTACGATGGTATTCACAACTCTTCCATTTGACAAATGTTTGTTGAGCTTGTGCCAGGCCCGGTGCTAGGACTGGCAAGTCCACAGTGAATGAGTCGGCTCCTGATGGCTTGTCTCTTGGTGCAAGCCTCAGAGGAGGAGGCCGCCTGTTGTCTCTACATGATCTCCAGAGCTTTCTCTTTTCTAAGAATCCACTTGAGGTTTTTACCAAAGCAGACGAGATATATTTTGATATCATAATTTTATATAACAAAATAAATAATAATACATCATTAATGTGGTATCTTGATTGACTATGAGATTCTTCTGGCTAGCTTCTCTGGATATTCATTTATTGGGTTCTAAAAATTTATACTTTTAGCAACTTCGTTTTCAGTTGATGTAATTGAAAGCATCTCTCTTGGCAAATGCAAGATCGCAAATAATTTTTGGTAATTTTTTATCTTCAGAAGGATCTTTCTGCTGATGCAGCTGTTACTGGAACTGTTAAGAGTATTGTATAGATTCTGACAACACTGGGATAAATTTCTGATAAATTATTTCAAAATATAAATTTTAGTGCATCTAGAGCTGATGATTCTTGCAAAAGAATTTTTCTAAAAAGATTTAACTCTTCACACAATTCAGTTTTGTGTAAGTCTGAATTTAATTTTAAATATAAATTCATGCGATCACATCTTAACATTTCCTCCGACATTTCCTGTAACTTGTGGAGGATGTACAAGAAACAAAAAGTGGCATCATGATTTGTATATCATTTGAAACATCTGTGTATGCATTATATGGCTGTATTTTCAATTACAAAGCAAAATTACTTTTTAAATTGTCTTGATTAATAATTGGTTCATCCAAAGCATCATATGGGGACTTCCCTGGTGGTCCAGCAGTTAAGACTCACGCTCCCAGTGCAGGGGGCCCAGGTTCAATCCCTGGTCGGGAACTAGATCCCGCATGATGCAATTAAAGATCCCATATACGGCAACGAAGATCCCGCATGCTGCAACTAAGACCCAGCGCAGATAAATAAACAAATAAATAAATATTTTTTAAAAATCATATGAAAATGGTGTTCTTTTCTATTGAATGTGATGATCTTTAAATTTGATTTCTCTTTCTAGGCGTGTTTGCTTTGCTATGTTGCAGCAGTTTCCAAACCCAAAGATTCTAAACTCTTTGAAGGGGGAGGGAAGGACAAATTAGGAAGTTGGGATTAACATATACACATTACTATATATAAAATAGACAACCAACAAGGACCTACTGTATAGTACAGGGAACTATACTCAATATTTTGTAATAACCTATAAGGGAAAAGAATCTGGAAAAGTTGTGTGTGTGTGTGTGTGTGTGTGTGTGTGTGTGTATAACTGAATCATTGTGCTATACACCTGAAAATAAGAAGACATTGTAAATCAACTATACTTCAATAAAAATATTTTTTAAAACACTGCAAACAAAGGATATTAGGAAATGATTAGGTGAATTATTCTCTATGCCTCTCTTTTCTTCCTCTATGCTTCTAATACAGCCAGCTAATCAATATACAAGTTAGCACCACCTACATGCAATGTGACTTCAAGAATGCACAGCATAGCAAATACAGGCAGCAATATTGTATTATACTCAAAGAGACTAGATCTTAATTATTCCAATCATTAAAAAGAAGTGATGATATGTGACATGATAGAGGTGCCAACTATCGTCACAGTGGCAATCATACTACAGTATATAAGTGTATCAAATCAATATGTTGTACACCTTAAATTTACAGTGTTATATGTCAAATATACTTCAATAAAAAAGAACACTTGTAATATAAATAGACTTTAAAGAATTATAATAACTCTCATGTATGCTTTATTACAAAGTCCATGTGTACACTTATATTTTGTAATAATTTTCTGACAAAGTTAACTCTCTATTCCTGTAGTTCCTGTCCTAGTGCTCAGGCTGGAGTTAATATCTGTCCACGTGAAACAAGGACAGGCTCCAGGATGGACAGGCAAGCCAGCCTCCCACCGTAGATGCCAGCACTGGCCACAGTACAGCTCCTCCCCTCTCCCATGGCCACATCACTACCTCTGCTGCTGCTGTCACCATCATCATTACCAATCTGGCCCTGGGGCTGTGCCCTGCAGCACCCTGGACACCCCAGGCATGTATACAGGATTGTCAGGGCAACTCCTCAGCATGCATGTTACCTGCCGTGTTTAGAGGCCTGGCCTATAACTTACACACATGTTGCCTAGAATATCTCCTCTGCTTGCATGCATGCTCCATCAGGGTTTCTTACAAAACACAAGTTCAAAGAAAAGATTATTAAGAATTTCAAGACAGTGACAGCAGAGGACAAACCAAGATACACCCCTCCTCTGAGAGTAGGGCCCTGTGTAACTGCACAGGTCTCACACCCATAAAGCCAGCCCTGCCTGAGAGGCATCACCACTAACACTATTCTTTTTTTTTTTTTT